TTTTTGCTATCACTCTCCGTTCCATTAATCAGCAAACGTAAAAAATATTTCCTTCACACTTTATTTTTGGTTTCTTAAAGCAAAAGATCAAAAACATTTTCTTAAAACAAAACAAGTTTATTTAACATATTCCTTGTACATTCTTATGCATTTCAATATGGTTGTAATAGTAATTTAGGAATTATTTTTACTTGCAATCCCAATTCGTACATATGTACCCCCACGCCCTAAAATATTGTAATAGCGTAGAATTTTATTTTTCGCAATTTACAGTTTTCCTTATAGTGTATAGTAATTAGGCGTGTATGGCAAGATAAAAACAAAGCAAATAGAAAACCCTAAATACAAGACAAAATCAAAGCATGAAAATGATACACTTGCACACAAGCACCCTTAGGGTTTCTCCACTTGGTTGCCTAAAACAAAATAGCCATGTTATGCACGCGAAGTATCTTGGCAAAACAAAACAAATATAAGATCATAGTCCCTCGATGACACTATTCAAAAGTTGCCTTACAAAATGATCTTGGTCCCTAAAAATGCTAAGATACTATGCAACATTGCTAATCATGGTTATACGATGACCCACGCCCGTCCCGTTTACATCCAAAGATAGGGTTGCTTACCAAATCAATGGTAAGACAACAATGTCAAAGGAATAGAAAATGCATAAGAAAGACATTTGAGTAGGTAGATAGCTTCTAGTTACTTGCTCCATTTCAAACAACAATCCTTGCTATTTTCAAAAACAAACACACACATATTTCAAAACATCTTACAAACATTGAAAACATTTTCAAAAGACAAACATCTTTGTATACATTCTTACGAACGAGAATCATTACAAAGATTGTCTAAACGAATGGCCTCTTATACAAAATACTTTCAAAACCACAGCAAACACAATTTCAAACAAACAAAGCAAGTGATCTAAGCAAGTAACTAAGATCCCATGGAAAACCATGGATGAAAAGGGTGCTAATACCTTCCCTTTTCATGATCTACCCCCCGAACTCAAGAAAACAATCTCAAAGGTCTTTCCTATGCTTTTTCACCTTTTTTTTGGATAAAAGAAAAGTCTGTGGCAACTCTTGCTAACCGCAACATTTGCAATCAAACGCAAAACCTCAAGTCAGTTCTCCCACCATATCACAAGGTGCAAGTGTGCAAGTGTTTGTATTTCATGCTCGATTTGTCTTGGATTAGAGTGATCTAAGATTGATTTTTTTATCTTGCCATGCACGCCCTAATTTACTAGCATTTATATGAAAGCGGTAAATTGCGGAAAATAAATATCCTACGCTATTACAATCACTTGGGGATGGGGTATACAAATTTACAAATGGGGATTGCAAGAAATTAAATCCTAATTATCTATTACAACTATATTGAATTTGAATAAATATACAAGGTAAAAATGGAGAAAAGGAAAGGACTTGTTTTGTTTTATTTTGAAAAGATTTTTATCCTAGTAAACTAAAAAAGAAATAATTAGTTAACAAAAGAAAATTAAACTAATTTAATTTTAAAAGAGAAATGTTTTTATGTATTTTTATATTAATTAAAAAAATATATTAATGATAACAATAAAAAATAATATAATAAAGAAAATGAGCCAAGAGGGGAGAAAAGTTGAATTTGGGGTGTTTTTGTGTAGAAAACTGTTTTTTTTTTTGTGTTCAAAAATAGTTTTTGTATTTGGCCCCAAGGGGGTCTGTTTGCTAGTTAATAAACAGGGGGGTCAGAGTATGAAAATTGAAGCTCAAACTGAAGGAGATCCAAACATTTTTCTTGCAAACGAAACAAAGTGAGAAAATATGAAAAAGGGTCTGGCTGGGAGTTTCGAACCCATGACCCTTCGATAGGATAAGTCGTGGTGCGTGTTGTTTGTACCACTGGGGGTAGCCTACTTCATCCATTCATGTGATCACTTCGATGGAATATAAAATGAGTTCGTTTCTGGATGTCGAAATACCCAGCTTCAAAGGCCATGGTGCTTTGATGGTCAGGCTCCTAACTACTCCTTTTCTCAATTTAAACAAACAGTGAAGACATCAAAACGAAACTAACACTTAAACACAAATTGAAATACAAAACATAAACATTAAATTTGTCTAAGAACTTGGATGTGAATGGAAGCATACATATTTCGAAAGCTAGGGAATCGAAGGTCAGCATGGATTTTGTTCAGTATAAAAAACGAAAACTAACTATACAGGAAATGATAATCGAAAACTGTGAGCAACATGATATCTACATTTCGAAGGATGCTTGAATGAAGAGTTCTAAGTTTGAAGAAAACTTACATCTTGGGGTGAAACTTTGAAGGGACTTTGATGCAACTTCCAGGAATGGTTAGATGATGAGTGAATTAAACCTACTTCGTTTGGAAGATAGTTAAGGCCTCCAACTCAAATCAAGTTTTAAGTTTCCATTTCTTTGAAAAAAAATGAAAGGGCAAGCAAGTTTGAAGAGTGTTTGATGATTTTGTGTTTAAGAGTGTTTGATGATTTTGTGTTTGAGAGTGGAGTTAGAATTTTAGTTTCCTGTTTCTGACTCTATATTTTTTTGCAAACTTCCCTCATCTTTTTTCTTTTGATACGCAATGGACTTGCATATTTATATGAAAATGTTGAGATGTTTTACACAAAGGATCTTTTTGATGTACTATTTTGGCTAGGTGACTTGATAAGTGAAAAACAAGTACAAGCATGGTCCTGTTGCTTCTGATTTTAACTTTGCTTATGCTCAGACAAAATAAATTTTGGAGGCTCAAGGAGCTGACTTTGTGATTAAAGTAACCTTTATGAAAATAGATAACATAGCTTTTCGTCAATTCGTCCAAAAATAGTAATATCCTAATGGATAAAGCTCTATGTGTATACCTCTGATTATGTAAAGATTTGGAAGCAACGTAGCCTGAAAAGTGAGATTTGGAAGATAAAGCTATGAGATTTGTTCTTGAATCAGATGCCAGAATGAAATCGAAGCAAGCTTGCTTCGAAGGAAACTTTTTCCTTAGTCGAAGCATGTTCGAAGGAAGCTGCTTGAAGGGAGGCATTGCCCATGTCGAAGCTTGGATCGAAGCAAGCACACTGCCCCATCGAAGCTTATGGATTGAAGAGTGTTCGGAGGGAGTCTTTTAACCATTCGAAGCATGTAGGTCGAAGGAAGCCAGTGTCTAATCAAATTTAGAATCGAAGCAGATTGCTTCGAAGGTAGCTAGTGTCTAATCAAATTGAGAATCGAAGCAGATTTCTTTGAAGGTAGCTAGTGTCTAATCAAATTGAGAATCGAAGCATATTTCTTCGAAGGTAGCTAGTGCCCCGATCGAAGTTGGAGAATCGAAGCAGACTTGCTCTTCTTCGACCCAATCGAAGGGCACATTATCATCTTCATTTTCCTTTTCCTTCGACCAATCGAAGTAACAACTTGTCATCTTCAAAAAATTTCATTTTTCTTTATTTATTTAAACAGGTGTTTGTAACCACCTATATGAGAGGAATCTTGAAAAATGAGAGGGAAAATTTTAGGGTACAACAGATAGTCAATTTAAAACTCCATTCTAGTTTGAGATAAGTCTGTAAAAAAAAGTATTTTTGGCTTAGAGACTAACTGCTCGAAGCTCTAATTGGTTTTTCGCATGAAGACTAACTTCTTCATTCCCTTGTTCGCTGTTTTGTTGGAAGTTAACCTGAAACTTCGTTTTACTTGTATAAAGGGGTTCGTGAGCTTACCTTCTAAAAGCTATCAAACATTATTGAATACTCTCAAGATCAATTTTTAAGGATATGAGTATCTCACTTCATTTAGACCAAACATTTATAAATCTTTGATATTATCGCTCTTCCCTTACTTTTTTCTTTCCGCATATTTTCTTACCCTGTTTTTCTGTTGCATATTCAAAAATTTTAAAAAAAATATTTATGAACTCGAATTTAAAAAATAATTTTATCTTAAATAATTTTTTTCAAACTCCCATAATTCACCCTACAAGAAAATAATTCACACTACGAAAAAAATGTAGGATTAGCTACCATTATTTTACTACAAATTAAATTTATAGCTAATTCCAATTAAAAATACATCTATTTAATTAAATTACACATATTACCACCTATTCACTTAAACACTCACCTATACTATTACTTGTCTATTTTTTTTATTTAACAAGTACTTATCATTTCCTTTTTATTATTCTTCTTCTTATTCTTATTTTATTATTGTTATTATTATTAATAATTAAGTTACATCACCTTTTTTTTTCAAATAACGAAGGTTATATATATATATATATATATATATATATATATATATATATATATATATATATATATATATATATATATATATATATATATATATATATATATATATATATATATATATATATATATATATATATATATATATATATATATATTATTTATTAATATAATATATATATATCTACTGTTTACAACGGTCTCATATACCGTATCTCACCACATTCACGTCGTTCTCCGTCTCCGATCAACCCGTCCACCTCTGTACGTTGCCCTTGTTGCCTATCTCTTATCAATCCTAATCCCAATTCCGTAAGTCTCTCTTTCGTCGTCTTGCGTATTAGGTGTTCGATATTTGCATCTTCAAGTTGTTCCACTTTTTCATCTTCAAGATCAGACTCTTCTACCAATCAATTGTCCAAGGTAGCTTTGTAGTGTCTCATACTTTCAAGATAGTATACATTCGTTCATGGACAAAGGAAAGAAAAGGAGAACAACTACTTGTTTTTCATAACATTATTCGCACATGTTTGCATACAAGACCTCAAGGAAATGACCCTAAAGGGTTATGCTTATTAAATACATCCAATATAATTCACTATCCTTAACTATTTTCCTATATGATCTTCAAATCCTAAACAAACTCTTTTTTATAATACAATAATACAACAATCAATACCAAAGAAAAGCAATTAAGAAAACCAACTATTCAAATGCAAGAATATGCATAACCTCCTAGTCTGTGGAGTGTGTTTGGCTGCTGATAATTGATAATGAATTTGATGCAGAAAACCCATCCCAAGGTTGGTACTGTTCGATTCCAGAAAACTCAATTTCCTCGTTATTTTGTTGTGCATTAAGCTTCTTATTGAATCCCCTAATCCCTTCCAATTCTAATGTGACTTCTTTCATGGTTGGTCGTTTTCTTCCATTTATTTCTAAGCATCTATATGCAAGATTTGCAACTGAAATGATATGTTCTTTCTCTCCTCCTTCTATGACCCTTTTGTCAATAATGTCAAACAATATATTCTCCTCTATACACTGAACAAAATAGGAAGCTAAATTTTTTGAATCCTCAGATCTTGTTACAGAAGATATTGGCTTCTTACCAGTTAAAAGTTCAGCAAGGACTACTCCAAAGCTGTAAACATCACTTTTCTCTGTGAATTGACTAGTGTAAAAATATTCAGGGTCTAAGTATCCAAAAGTACCTTGGACCATTGTGGTAAGATGAGTAGCTTCAATTGAAATTATTCTTGATGCTCCAAAATCTGCTAATTTTGCCCTATACTTTTCATCCAATAGTATATTTGTTGATTTGACATCTCTATGATAAATTGGCTGAGATGCAACTGAGTGCAAATAAAATATAGCACCAGCAACTTCACAGGCAATTCTCAAACGCATGTCCCATGTCATTGGTATGTCCTCATTTTGGTCATGCAGATACTCAAAAAGGTTACCATTGGGAATGAATTCATAAACAAGCAAAGGAATTTCTGTCTCCAAACAACATCCCAATAGTCTCACAACATTTCTATTGTTGATTTGTGAAAGAATCACAAACTCATTGATGAACTCTTCAACCTTTCCTTCAACCTTAAACTTTTTCACAGCAACAATTTTACCATCCACCAGCATGCCTTTGTAAACTGTACCTTGGCCTCCCTTTCCAAGAATTCTATCCTTATTGAAATTATCAGTGGCTTTCTTTAAATCCTTCAAGGTGAAGAGAATAGTTCTATCAACATTTACTTCTCCTGCAGACATCCTTTTTTGTAACAGCAGACCACCGTTTCTTTTGAAGAATTTTTCTCTGCGTTTCTTAATCATTCTTCGTTTCATAGCTTTGTACAAAAACCATAAACCAATGAGAAAACCGATGGATCCGAGACTTGATGAAATTCCTGCATGTTTGTCATAATAAATTATGTGAGCGTAATTGAAAGTTGTCTTTTGTTAAAGTCATCTTTTTAAAATCAAATATAGAGTATGTTTTACCAGACATTAAGTAAATTCACACTCATTTTTATCTCAAAGCAAATGCACGATGAAAGAAAAATAAGCATTTTAATTCTAAGATATAAGAACTGTTGGTGCAAGGTAATGAAAGGAGAGATGAAGAATGAATAATGAATGATAACAAAGATGACTACTTTATAATATTCAAATAGAGGAATGAATTAGGTTACAATAATGATAGCCTAGGTAGCATATTTATACTAATAATGGAAAATGCCAAAAGACCCTATTAAAGAATAAACATTGAGAATTATAGACATTAACTAAATTATATTGCCAATAAAAACAAGGAGATATATAATATAAACATATTAACAAATTAAATAAAAACATAATCTTAAATAGAATGTTATGATCAAGAGTAAGGTTCATATAACCAACTCTATTTATTGGGATAAGAAATTCATCAACTATTTATGTATAAGTAACAAGTAGATGTAAATTCACCAAGCTCTAGCTTAGAATCACGCAATTTAGACGAAATGAAATAAAGTTATTAGTATTCACTTATGAAGTTTGTACATACCTACAATAACCCACTTCTTCCATCGATTATTCCTATAAAAGTCTTGCTCTGGAACTGCGGAAGCAACGAACCAAGTTAGCTTATAACTCAAAACTGGTATATATTTCTTCTTGAAGTGGAATTGAATTAGAAAAGGGCATGGAAGCCGTAGAATTTATACCAAGACAATTTGTTATTTATTTCTTAGAAAACCAAGTGTTGCTACTTTGTTCCTAATTAGAGCAATATAACATGATATGCTATTGTAATATAAAAAGGTAGATATTGAAAAACCTGGGCAGCCTCCAAGGTATGGATTTCCATAGATTTCGTAGAGATAGTCAGAGTAAAACCCGGACGAGCATCGACATTGCTGACCGGTGGTTCTGTTACTTAAAGAAGTAACCTTGGAGTTGTAACAATTTGGAGGTAGTTGAAATGTGGAATTAATTAACATATCATTCAAAATCTCCCACTCTAGCACTGCAGGAGCATGTTCCCTATTCTTCAACTCATTCAATATATCGAATCTTACCAAATAATGCCTTACAATCAAAGCATAACCACAACCATCACTACTCTGTTCCCTTAAACCTCTTAGTGTTGCGTTAAACTCTGAAAGATGTGAAGGCAATGAGGTTTCACAACAATACCTTCCATTACAACCGTCACTAGTGAAATTGTAATTGTTACCGTTGTTGTTGTCGTCGTCACAAATTGATACACAACCACCAACGGTTGTCCCATTAGACTGAAGAAAAGCAAGATTGTTACATCCCACAGCTAGAAACGTGTTTTCAGCCTGTGAAAATATGTAAGGACTGTCTCTAAGATTAACGGTTTTTCTATTGTTGATGCTAATTTTGTTTTTTTGACAATTTGAACGGTAAATTGGGTTCATAATCTCAACTTTGCTCGAGTACGGGTAAAAATGGATTACTTCAAGATTTAACGACTTCAAGTAAGGTTTAGGAACATCAGAAGAAGTATTGTTGTCAAATTTGCATTCTATTTCAAACCATTTGTGTGCATAGCAATGAGGTTCATTCATTCCGAATGGGAAAGGCACTGAAACTGTTCCACATGTTGAATTACAACCATATTGTGCTATGTTTACATCTCCATGTGCCGAGGCTAATCGAGGAGATAATATTAAAACAATGATATGAAAAATTGTGAATGATAGAATCATTGTTTAGAGCTAAGATTTATTTGTGGATCTTAGAAGCAGCTTAACTTATTTATTTATGCTGTCATAGTGATATGCTAATACAACTGTTTAAGAAATTTCTCAGTATTTTCTTCAATGACCAAAATAAACTGAAAATAATCTGAAATTAATTTTTACTATATAATAATAAACTAAAATTAATTAATTTATATAGTATATATTTAAGTAAATAAACTGAAATTAATCTTTAACATTTTATTTTAAACTGCAATTAATTTTTAACATATTATTTTAAACTGAAATTAATTTTTAAAAATATTATTTTTAACTATATATATAATACATTTTTGTGACATTAATATATGATATTAATTTATGATAACATATATTTAGTTAGCAATTTGTGTGAAGTACCGTTAATTACTATGACAGTTTACTACGCATACAATATATTGGCAATAATAATAAAAAAGATGTATTGGTCAAGTGGAAAAGCAGGTGTCCCACTGTACTTCATGACTTGGATTTGATTCTATAGTGGTGAAAAATGGAGATCAAGTTATTAATTAATTTGACTCGTTAAATAAGTAAGAGTCATCATCGCGCTTTATTATTTTCAAGGGAGAAAGAAAAAGAACGAAATAAAACCCATAAATAAGCATGCAATGCAAAGAAGTAAGAAAGCTAGAAACAATGCAATAAAGAGATTAAAGGGTACGAGGGTTGGTTATGCTTGTACTCTACAAGAACCTTTTGAAATATCTGTGTTTTTTGGTTTTTTGTTTTTATAAAGAATTATTGTTTGCTAAAAGAGTATGGTTTAAGGAAATTTTGAAAACACAACGACTTAATGTCGAGGTTTATATGAAAAAATGTGTAAGTTTGAAAACTGGGGTTTAACTAAGGAGAAATAAATAAAATAGATAACCATAAAAGACGTGACATGCAAAAGACGCACAATGACATAAAGTCAACAAGATAATCTTTTCCCTTGAATTCAAACACAAGGACAATAATCAGATGAAGACCGAACAAGAACTATGCATCAGATAAAAATGGATAATAACCATAGTTCAAGGATTAAAAAACCAATTTTAGGTTTTTCTTTATTAAGTGGCTTATAACAAGCAAAAGAAAATAAGAAGCTCAAGTGAGCAAAGAGAAGATAAATGCTCAAGTGAGTAAAGAAAAAAACGCATAAAGTAAAAAAAATAAAATGCTATGGATGATAAATGACATAAAAGTAAAGAGCAGAAAATATAAAATGCGGAAATGTAAATGACATTAAAATAAAGTTAGTACAATATAAAATTAATGTTAATGATTAATAATCCGATTTAGGACAAGTGTAACTTCATATAGAGCATATAGTGTATGTACCCATACATGTTAGAGAAATGACACTTTGAAGTTCTTTCTCTTATACATGTAGTACAATTAACAAACACGGGGGATCAAGACAAAGTCAAAGAAGATATATTATGACAAACTTATCATTAATTCCAAGTATCTTGAATGATCAAAGAACCATTTAGAGATAGATTGGAAATGGTGAAAGTTCATCAAATATTTGACAAGCTTAGGTGAACTAAAAAGCTCAAATACTTTCCAAATTTATCGAAATAAAAATAAAATAGATAAACAAGAATAAGATGAAGTCTATAGTAAATATAGTAAAAATGTCATAAACAAATGAATAGTTAAAATTTATCTACTCAATCTCACGAACAAGGATCCATGCTCAAAGTAAGTAAATAAACAACAAAACATTACATGAAAAAAACGAAAATTAAACAACAATAAATTACTTTTGCTTTTGGAGGTTAAAGAACACTTTTCAACTCTTGATTTTAATCGATGAAGTTTCCTTGCAAAATGATGATAATTATGGTACTAAATAAATAAAGCAATAGTAAAATGCAATAGAATTAAATAAAGAACAAATATAATAGCCTATCTATTCAATAAAATGAGGAAATGACTTGAAATAAATGAAGAAAAAAGAAGAAGAGAGTTTTGACTTAGTTTATTGAATGATTTTGTGATATTGTTAGTTCAAAATGAGAGAAAGAGATGTCTTATTTATAGTGCAAATGAGGTGAGAGTGTTAATGTGGCAATCCATGTGACTTTATGAGAATGATTCTTGGCCATTGATAAGTTCAAGTTGACAATCCATGTGAAGTGTGAAAATGATTTTTGGCTATTGATAAATACAAGTTGGTAATCCATGTGAAGTGTTTGTACTACATTGTAGTGGTCCCAACTTTTCTTTATTGATAAAAAACAAAAGGACAAAGTAATAATAATAATAATAATAATAATAATAATAATAATAATAATAATAATAATAATAATAATAATAATAATAATAATAATAATAATAATAATAATAATAATTAAAAATATTAGTAATAATAATAAATACAAAATAGAAAATAAAAGAGACATTAAATTAACTATGCAAAGAAAATGTGTTAGCACCAAAAGCATCGGTAGTATTCTACCGGAACCTTATGGAATATCTTTGTTTTTTTGCTTTTTTTATAAAGAATTATTGTTTGCTAAAAGAGTATGATTTAAGGAAAATTTGAAAATGAAACGACCTAATGTCGAGGTTTATATGAAAATTGGGGTTTAACTAAGGAGAAACAAATAAAATAGATAACCAAAAGACGTGACATGCAAAAGACGCACAATGACATAAAGTCAACAAGATAATCATTTCCCTTGGATTCAAACACAAGGACAATAATCAGATGAAAACCAAACAAAAACCATGCATCAGATAAAATGGATAGTAAGCATAGTCCAAGGATTAAAGAACCAATTTTAGATTTTTCTTTATTAAGTGGCTTATAACAAACAAAAGAAAATAATAAGCTCAAGTGAGCAAAAAGAAGATAAATGCTCAAGTGAGCAAAAAAAATGCACAAAGTAAGAAAAATAAAATGTTATGAATGATAAATGGCATAAAAGTAAAGAGCGGAAAATATAAAGTGAGAAAATGTAAATGACATTAAAATAAAGTTAATACGATATAAAGTTAGTGTTAATGATTAATAATCCGATTTGGGACAAGTGTAACTTCATATGGAGCATAAAATGTATGTGTCAATACATGTTAGAGAAATGATATTTTGAAGTTCATTCTCTTATAAATGTAATACAATTAAAAAATATGAGGGATCAAGACAAAGTCAAGGAAGATACATTATGACAAACTTATCATCAATCCAAGTACCTTGAATGATCAAATGACGATTTAGAGATAGATTGAAAATGATAAAAGTTTATCAAATATCCGACAAGCTTAGGTGAACTAAAAAGTTCAAATGCTTTCCAAATTGATCCAAATAAAAATAATTAAAAAAAAATAGATAAAGAAGAACAAGATAAAGTCTATAATAAAAATAGTAAAAATTTCATAAACAAATAAATAATAAAAAATTATCTACTCAATCTGAGAAACAAGGACCCATGCTCAAAATAAGTAAATAAAAACAACAAAAAATTACAGAAAAAACGAAAATTAAACAACAATAAATCATTTTTGCTTTTGGAGGTTTAAGAACTCTTTTCAACTCTTGATTTTGAATCAATGAAGTTTCCTTACAAAATGGTGATAATTATGGTACTAAATAAATAAAGAAGAGTAAAGTGCAATAGAATTAAATAAAGAACAAGTATAATAGCCTACATATTCAATAAAATGAAGAAATGAATTGAAAGAAAATGAAGAGAAAAAAAGAGAGTTTTGGCTTAGTTTAGTGAATGATTTGTGGTATTGTTAGTCCAAAATGAGAGAAAGAGATGTCTTATTTATAGTGTGAATGAGGTGAGAGTGTTGATGTGACAATCCATATTACTTTATAAAAATGGTTCTTGGTCATTGATAAGTCCAAGTTGGCAATCCATGTGAAGTGTGATAATGATTCTTGGCTATTGATAAATAAAAATTGACAATTCATGTGAAATGTTTGTACTACATTATAGTGGTCTCAATTTTTCTTTATTGATACAAAACAACAAAAGGACAAAGTAATAATAATAATAATAATATTAATAATAATAATAATAATAATAATAATAATAATAATAATAACTAAAAATGTTAGTAATAATAATAAATACAAAATAGAAAATAAAATAGATATTAATTAAATATTCATGATTTTTTCTTAAAATAAAAGTGTAATTTAAAAAGATAACAAATAAAATACATATTCTAAAAAAGTAAAAGGACTTATATATATTTTTTATATATATTTTTAAAATAAATGATACCAATATATAAATTTAAATTAATAAAAGAACATATTTTTGATAATTTTTTAATAAAGAAGTAAAAATAGTAAATAAAAAAATAACATGCTAAGTATACTTTTTTTATGATTTTTTAAATGGAAAAGAAATCATGAATAAATTACAATAAAAATTAAATTCTACTAAATTCATAAACGACTTCTAACGTTTCTATTTTTTCGTGGCTTTTCAAAGAATAATCAACTCTTGACTTGTAAAGAAAAGTTGTAGATAACATCAAGGAACATCATATGCACAAATAACCAATAAAAATGTCGAAATTTGAGGATGTTGTGAATTTTCGAACTTTGACTTGAGAAGTTGACAAAAACAGATCAAATCACTTATGTATACTTGTCGAGGAGATTTGGTTTGACTCGTCTGATTCAATCTTTGTCTTGTATGAAAACAAAAGGAAAACCAAGAAAATTATATTTTTTGACTTTGGTTAGAAGTTAGTAAATATAAAAAGGTAAAAGATAAATGTAATAAGTAAACACAGAGACGTTTGGCGAAAGAACTCAGTTTGCAATCTTGATGTTATGTAATAATGCAAAAGAGACGAGGGATCTTAGATAAAAAATTAGGATGCAAAAGATCCCATCTTTTGTAATGGATTTATTGGCTTTTTTTCTCTCTCCAAATTTCTTGACTTTCTAGTATTCTTAATAATTTAATATAATTTAAAATTAAAATAAATAAAAAAGAAAATAAAGT